ATGTCTTCCCTAGGCTTTAGGATGTTTCATGGCTCTACGCTTATTTGATTTTTGGCCGCATGCTTGACTACCCAGTTTAAAATAATAATGACAATAATATTCTCTCTTTACCCTAACTAAATATGCGTTTTATAAAACCCAAGTGCTTATTATCAAACAAGAATAAGTTTTTAAGATCATTTACATCATCTTTAAGCAACATAACTCTAAGAATTAATGACACAGTGAATAGTTTCCAATATTTATCTGTTCATGAAATTTTGTCCCTAGCACCTTATTTATGTCTATTTGAAAATACATTATCCGTGGCCTACAGTATTCATCTGTTGTTTTTCAAGACTATTTTTGGTTCAACAAAGGCACAAATAAAAAATGTATTCAATAACATCATTTATTGGTGTATTGTAATTAAAAAAAGGAAAATTGTGGGAATGAATAGTTAAATTCGCGAGTCTTTCAGTTCTCGCAGATTCTACCTCCATCTCAATGGCATAGCCGCCCATCCATGTATATAGCTTTCTATCCCCCCCATACAACAGGTGCAGATAACTTTTCCACTATAATATGGACTGTTACGGATTCATGGATGAATGAGGGAGCTACATTGGAGGCTGCGATGAGCAAACCCTACCCACTAGATTCCGTTTTCTGATTGCCAAGGTTAAACGCCACAGAAGGCATGTGCTGTGGATGGCTGCACTTGCAACAACTTTTGGCAGTGTCTCAATTTCGAGTTTCACACAATAACCGCCAAAGGAGGAGGACCAAGTCCTAGCAAACCAGAAGCAAAATTAGAGAAAATTTTCACTATAGATTTCTAAGCGCAAGGATCTATGCCTTTGCCTGAGAACCTACTATCTTTATTTCTCATAGATCTTTCTGGTAGGTGACACCATAAAGGGCCACTGGCACAAAGAATATGTACCCTGCTTCTAGCAGTGTCTCCCAGATCAGTCCTTCCCAATGGTGTTCGTCTTGCAAACAGCGTGGTATTCAGGAACACCAAGCAAAATACCGTTTGTGCTACTCTAATTAGGCACCTTTTGCTCTATGTTGCGAGCCCATAGCATCAATATAATTTATGTCTCGCTGTTGATAGCGGGTCATAGGTAAACTCATTATGGGCAAAACGTTATAGTCACCGCGACATTACTCATACGTATCTGGGTTTGGCAGCCATCGTGGGTTTCCACCCAGGTGATATGGCTTACTTTCTAAGGCTATGAGCTCTCATAGCTTGCGCACAATAATGGCAAAAATATTGTATTTAGACCTCCTTGCGTCTTCAACAATTACTTGGAGGGCCGAGATTTCTGCGCCCCCGATATGAAACTAGGCTCCGCAATAAAAAAGGTGGCGATATACAATTTGTGTTGGTGTGTTGCGAAATCAAGCATCCCCGACAGATTCCTTGTTGAATTTGCATGAAACCATTTTCCTGCACCAATTATTTATCAAAGAGTAAAGTACGAATAAATGAGTGTTTAAGCACACTGCCTTAAAAAGCCAAGCTATATTGCTTCTTCTGAAAATTGCACTTTAGCTTTTTCTTATCTTCCTAGGCATAAGTAAGTTCGTGGCAAGTATACTTAAATGAAATGCAATCTTCAGTTTTCTTTATGCTAATTACAAAGCACCCACCTCCTACTTAAGATACTCAAGAGTATGTGTGTAAACTAGGATTAAAAGTTACATAATTGAAATTTTTTGCTTTTCTAGTCTGTTTGACTACGCCTACTACGTTTTATTTGTATTCATTGTTTAACTGCCCGGCCCCTTGAGTATCTAAAGATGTACAATCGAGTCGGGTTTTTGCGCTCCATTTTTCTGCATACCAAGCGTACATTGTACCAGGATGTTAAACCTCATTCAAAGCTCCTAATTAAAAGCGCGTCTCCATTAGAGGTTTCGAGCCTTCCAGCGTATGAAGCTGAACGCAGCTCCGTCCTATTACCTGACTCCTCGGTGTTTCGAGTTGATGATGGTTGGAAAATTACTCAAACAACTGAATCACGTCCTTCAAAAGACTACATTAATAAAATACGAGTTCCCGCGATGCGAGGTTAAATAACTGTGGATTTTAATAGTTTCTTTGTAGATGTCGAGATAATCCAGAGCAGCTGTGATCACGTCTCTCTTGTAAATTATGAGGGTCTAAAAGCCCTGATTAAGTCATTTGGTCCCGTTAGCTATGCAAAACTGAAAGTAAGTTGTGTTAGTTGGGCTAAATTTGTTATAGCTGTCTGATTTTTCCATCAAATCGGACGGAAATGTAGTTGGTTCGGGGCATCTGGAGGGAAACTTTGATCTCGTTACGAACGGTGTACATCGTGCTTTCTAATGCTTATCTTTACTCTTTTTTTGTATGATTCTGACGGCGCTTCCGCACTCTAGTCCTTCACTGCTGACAATATCACCGGTCAGTCGATCGGAATTCTTTTCGGCGGGACCAACCTCGCTGTCCATTCCGCTTACTGTGACACAATGAATCTCAGTTGGATCACTCCAGAAGAACCTCCAGATGGAGTCACACCAGTCGAATTACCTCCGCTCAGCGTCTACTTCGGAACACTGCGTGGCGCCATTACCATTGAAATCGCCGGTGATGCCGACCTCAATATTGGTGTGGTGCATTACCCCCCCCCCCCCCTATCAAAGCCCTCCTCGACGAAAGATAAACGCAATCCTTACTTTCTTTCCCTCCAGGCAGTTTTGAGGGCTCTCTCTACTTACGTCAGCGGTTTGGTAACGTCGCCGTACACATAGGTGGCCCCTGCCCGCTTCTAGAAATCGATGTCGCCGAAGGCAACGTAGAACTAAGCCTTCCACTCTCCACGGTTGGTGGAAAAATTTCCGGTGCTGTAGAAGTTCAGGCTCCTCAAATTCATATCGACCGAGACGCCCTTTATCCTGATAGTCTCGACAACTGGGAGCTTGGTGAAGTTGCGGAGGCACAAACCTTCTGCGGTGAGATCTTACCCCAACTTACGCCCATTAGACCAACCTATCATAGTAGTCTCTGAGGTTCTCTACCTCCACTTTAGCTAACTTTAACAATCCTGAGACGGATTGCGAGACCCTCTGGAGAGTGCGCACTCTGCGCGGACGCGTCAAACTGACGGGCGCTTCATGGGCGGATGCAATGGCAAGATGTATTGAACGCACCACTACAACCATGCCCTAGGTGGTTGCTATTGTCGAACGACTACAATCTATGAAAGTAGATTCATTCCAATAAAACTCATATTTCCAATCCCGTGAGCAACAGATAAAAAACGATGAGATGGGAGATGCAAAAAAGTATGTGGTTGCTTATTGGATAAAAAGGCGCGTCTCGGCTGCTATCTCTGCTCGACCCTTGCTTTTGACACTGGCGCGCTGCTGGCGCTTAATCCTCAGGCGGAACTCATTCTGAATCCGTTTTCTCCCTTCCCGCTTCCTTCGTTCTCTCACTTCTTCGCGACTGATTACCATTGGGGAGGTGGCCTTCCTTCCCTAGCAAAATGTATGAATATTCTTCCATTAATCATGGAGAGATCCAAGGCCTCAATAGGAGTAAAATAAAATCACGTACCTTGACGAAGCTAGTATTGATGGTGGTGTTTTCCTTCACAAATTCATCCTCGTTTCCCTCGCCCTCATCTGATTGAGATGTTTGAGAAATGTGGGAAGTTAGGGCCTCCTCGCTGTCATGGATGTCTTCGTCACTCACGTCTTGCTCCTCGTTTGTGTCCGTTTCTGAAGCACTGTCGTCATCACTGCTGAGAGCGAGAGCCGCAACTGTGCCAACAAGGAGCTCTGAATCGTCTATGCGCCCTCGACGGAGGCCACTCTCGGTCTTTTTTTGAGGCTTTTGGTTGGGGTAGCCTGGAGCCTTTAGCTCCACATCCATATTTCCAGTTCGACTGGTGGAAAAAATGGGAACATTGTTTTCTCATTCGCCTAACAGCGTGAAGTAGTACCACCTCACTTCTTGATAGTAGGAAATGAACGTGTCGCTCTAAGACCCTATTTACCCCTTAATTACGCCTCTGCTTTGTTGCTGAATACGTGATCCTCAAATTATCGGTGGTTTTCGAGATGTAGTGAGGTCCTGAACCCGATAACAAAGAAAAGCTAAACTCCAGTTGGGACAGTAGGTTTGATTCCCGAAATAAGTTAGTTTGTATATCATGATTTAAATGTAAGAAATACAATGGAGCAAGAACAGTTTGTTGGTGAACAAATCGAGGATCGAGGCTTCTAGAGAATTTACACCTCGTGACCAATGACGGCATATTTACCACCCCAAACAACCAGATGAGTCCAAAGCCCAGTACCTTGATCACTCCTCAAAAAATTAGGACTAATAATGGGGCGTATGATATTCTAAGGTTGAATGAGTTACTCTGAGATAATCCATCTAATTTCACCCAGTTTACCATTAAGCGGGGAAAAAGCTCTAAATCATACCCTGGGTAAGCGTTTACGCTTCAACATTTGTACGTTTTTCTAGTTGATCTACTAAGAAACATGGTTTTGAACTTCTGAAAAGTCGAAATAATGAGTACGTTTAAATTGCGCGGAGATAGCAATAGAAAAGGTAAAGGCTGAAACGGGTACCCAACACAATGAAAACCCGGAGAATAATATTGGCTTACGGGACATCAGCGAGGGAGCGGGGAGGGACATCCGTCGGAGGAATTTCTAGGAATCTACTGAAGAAATTGACAATCCCATTCAAATCCCGTTCATATGTCCTAAAAATTCACACATTCAATTTATTAGCTCTGAGCCCTGACCCGAAAACAGTATGTTCAGATCTTCTGTAGATAAAGTTTGGGAACAAATTCAATCCTCAGACAAGGTTGTCCGACTTGAAGATACGCAGCCTGAGGCATAGTTGTTTCTGATGGGGTACAACGTTTGACCTCCCAGTCGGAAAGGGAAATATGCAAAGGAGACAATAAATTGGTAATTCCACTAGAGCTGCCAAATCCGCTTCGACGAGTTTATCAAGAGCACCATATATTGGAATTCTAAGGCACGATAAAAACCCGCTTTAAGAAACTTGACCGTTAATAAAAGCGCCTACAGCAAGACGTATTATCTACAAAGATTATGACGAAAATTTTGCGTTTATGATAAGTTGTTACATGTAACAAAGCCAAGCATTCACTGAAAAAGTAGTACTGCACAAATCGTATAAGGAATCAAAAGATAGTACATAACTGCCAGAGCCACCTGAAGAAATTCCATTTTAACCGTTGTTATACTGGAAGACAAACTATGTAGTTCGTTTTTGGATAGTCGACGAAGTTAAGCTGAGCATAGTGAACACCAAACAGAACCCACATACTCCTGAGCGGTCCGGTGATCGCGACTGATCATCTGAGGAAAATCAATGAGAATTAGCTTTGCTTCTATCGCTATCTTTGTCGTTATCGTTGCATCCGTCTCAACTTCTTCACCATCATTTTTCACCAATCCATGTACGAGAAGGTTAAACTCGTTGAAGTCACCATGAATTAGACCGTTGCGAGTAATAGTGGAAAGGATGTCCGCAGCCTGGGTGTAGAGCGCGCTGGCAAGGATGGCGTCATCGGCGCGGAGAGTGGTGGGTAGGACCTTGCAAAGGGGTACCGTGTCCGCCAAGAAACTCATCACCACCGCGTTGCGGTTGTTCGCCAATGGGCACGGGACCGGCAGACCGTGGTGATAAAGTATCTGCAGGACGGGTCATGAGTGACCAAAAAACAAGATGTTTAAAGCTAGTTGCTAGTACAATGCAACCAAATAAGTTTGTTGTTGTAACATCGTAAGTAAATAACTACAGGAAACCTCGTTTTATGCTTCAGTAGTTAAAACAATCACAACTGCGGTCTATCAATTGA